ACATTTTCCCGGACGACTTACCGACGGGACTGCCACCTCAGCGACCGCACGATCACAGAATAGAATTGGAACCGGGGGCACAGCCAACAGTACAGCGACAGTTCCGACTGACCCAGCCCGAACTGGACGAACTGAGGAAGCAGCTCGATTAGCTGCTCGAGAAGGAGTTCATTCGCCCTAGTTCGTCGCCTTTCGCAGCACCGATACTGTTTACACCGAAAAAAGACGGGGGATTTCGCATGTGCATCGATTACAGAGCACTGAACAGGGTTACCATCAAATCCCGTTACCCCATCCCACGAGCCGACGAACTGATCGACCAACTGCGCACAGCCCGGGTTTTCTCGAAAACCGACCTCCGGGGGGGTTACCATCAGATTCGTGTCAATCCGCCCGACTGCCCTAAAACCGCATTCCGAACACGCTACGGATCCTTCGAATACACCGTCATGCCCTTCGGACTGACCAACGCCCCCGCCACTTTCCAAATGACCATGAACGAAGCTTTCCGCCCACTCTTAGATAAGTGCGTCTAAGTATACCTGGACGACATACTGATTTACAGCCCTGACAGAGCACAGCACTTACAGGACATCGAAGCAGTTTTTAAGATACTGAGTGAGAACCGCCTACTGACAAAAGCGTCTAAGTGTGAATTTTTACAGGAACGTCTGGAGTTTTTGGGACACGTTATTTCAGCCGCAGGAGTGGAAATAGACCCGAAGAAAATTGCGACGATTCAGGCTTGGCACGCGCCGACCAACTTGACAGAGTTGCAGAGTTTTCTGGGGTTCGTCAACTACGTGCGCCGGTTCGTCCCCGACATGGCGAAGCTGACTGCCCCGTTGACTGACCTGCTGAGGAAGGGGGTTGAGTACATGTGGGGGGAGAAAGAGCAAGTTGCCTTCTCGGCCCTCAAAAACATTTTGTGCTCACCGCCCGTGCTTCACATCGCCGATCCACACCGTCCGTTCGAGCTCGTCACTGACGCAAGTGACATCGCTGTGGGAGCAGTACTGTTGCAGGATTTCGGGAACGGCCTCCAGCCAATCGCGTACGAGTCCCGCAAACTGCACCCGCCCGAACGCAACTACCCGATACACGACCGCGAAATGTTGGCGATCGTGCACGCGTTCAAGGTTTGGCGGTGTTACCTGACTGGCGCCGACGTGACAGTACAGACAGACCACCGATCACTACAGTACTTACGCGCCCAACCAAATCTCAATCCGCGACAAATTCGCTGGCTGGACTACCTCGAGTCCAACTTCCACTACACGGTTACGTACAAGAAAGGCGCATCCAACATCGCCGACGCACTCACCCGCCCTACCGCCCAACTCCACGCCATCCTACTCGCCCAGACCAACCCGCTGTTAACAGGCCTATTCACCCACGGATACCGCACCGACCCATTTTTCACGACTGGAAACTCACAGCAACTGGCAGAAGCTAAAGGAGTTTATTACGTAAAAACAGGCACCAACCGCATCTGGGTACCTGCGTACTCACTACTGAGGGAGTTGCTACTGCAGGAGGCACACGACGGAATTACCTCGGGACACTTTGGGGTAGAAAAAATGCGACAGCAACTGCAGCGGTATTATTACTGGCCGGAGCTGTTGACCGACGTACAGCAGCACGTGGGCTCGTGTCCCACGTGTCAGGTGATGAAGAGCTCGAGGAAGCGGAAGGCGGGTCAATTGCAGCCGATACCACCGCCCGAGCGCGCCTGGCAGCAGGTTACCATGGACTTCGTCACAGGGTTACCTTCGAACCCTGGGGGTAACGACGCGGGTGATGGTCGTCGTTGACAGGCTGACGAAGATGGCACACTTCGCTGCGTGCAAAAAGTCGATCTCAGCCGAGGAGACCGCTCGTCTGTTCATCGCAGCCGTTGTTCGCCTGCACGGGATACCAGCAGCGATTATCAGCGACAGGGACACGAAGTTTACCAGCAACTTCTGGAAAAACCTCTGGGAGCAGTTCGGGACCAGGCTACAGTTCAGTTCGTCGTACCACCCCGAGACCGACGGCCAAACGGAGCGGACGAATCAGACGATGGAGCAGTTGATTCGTGCCACGTGCGACGACCCCACGACTTGGGAACAGCAGCTGCCGCTGATCGAGTTCGCGTACAACAACGCCACGTCAGCGACGACGCAGCAGTCCCCCTTCTACCTGAACCACGGGCAAAATCCTACAGTGCCCATGACGCCGAGTCCGGACAATCCGACACCACGTGCACAACAATTCGCCGAAATTCTGCAAGCTGCCCGCACCAGAGCTGCAGAAGCAATTAAAAAAGCAAATGTCATCGCTAAGCGCAACGCCGACCGCTACCGCCGACCCGTCACCTACCAGTCAGGGGATTACGTACTGCTCGACACGCAAAACCTGCGACTGCCCGACGTACCAAAACTGCGACCGCGCTACTGTGGCCCATTCCAAATCAGCCACATGATCACGCCAGTAACCGCGCACCTACTGTTACCGACCGACTGGTACATCAGCCCTTCGTTCCACGTCAGCTTGCTTCGCCCATACATCCCAACCACAAGCCAATTGCCTCGCCACCGCCCGCCATCCATGACTCGCCCTGCATCGGAGCCGATCATCGAGCCCGAAAAAATCCTGAGCCATCGGATTCGACACCCCACGGGAATCAGGAGGATTGAATTCCTCGTTCGCTGGAAGGACCGCACGCCAACTGAGGATAGCTGGGTGCCCCTGGCCAACATTGAAAACCACCCTGCCCTGCAAGCGTACCTGAGGAGCCGGGGATTCCGCGACATACACGCACTCGCGTAGCGGAGGGGGCTTCTTGAGGGGGGGGGGTAGTGTAAGGAATTTTCTCGGCATTCCTTACGGAGCCCGACTACACCGCGTACAGCAACAGCCGTTGTTCGCCCGTTACTGCTAACGGAACTTCGCCGACTTCGCGCGCACTGTTTCACCAAACCTCGCACTGCTGGCCCGGCCGTGTCGGCCTACGCTTCGGGACTAGCCCGAGCCTCGCTGCCAGCATAGCACTGGCTAGCTCGCACGCACCGCGTTACCGTTTGCATGCTTCGCATATAAATGTTCGCTCATGCCTTCGCTCACATCTTTGTACTCGTTTGACACCTTAGTGCAATTCTCGCTACTTCGATTCATTGCACCCGTAACAGTACGTCATGTGTTTTTCTTCAACGTCAGGATTTTCTTTTCCTTCAAAAGAAATCAGCCTCAGCCGAAGTAAAAAAAAGAAATGACGTACCGAATTGCTCAATCTCCCCTCCATGTTGGTTCTGAGCAAGCCGTGTCGTGCACTGCTCATTTCTAAAATTTCTGTTCATCAGCCACTTGATACTGATATCTGTTCAAATTCATTCCCTTGCTCGCACGCCCCTCACTTCCCCGCCCACTATTCCCCCCACCACCCGTCACCCTTCATCACAGGTTGGGAACAGACTACTGTATAAATCGACACAAACATAGTTCTGTAGTCTCCTCTCCCTCATTTGCTCACACATTCCAAGTTGAGAAGTTGAAGTTCTCATCTCATCCCATAATTTTCTGCACGGAACCTCTCTGGGTCTCGCGGTTACTTCCAAAACGGTGGCACAATGTACCGGGCGGTGCGTCACTGTGCTCCCAAACACGACCCCTCCTCGCCCCCTAAGGTTGGACAACGTTATTTATTTACGACGTAACTGAGCCGACGTCTCTCCTGGCAGATTTCCGCTTGAAGCAGATAGTATTTGCGTCTCGGCTTGCGGCGACGCTACTAGTAGTAGTAGTATACCTGTTCGGCTTGCTTAATCTACCGCAGCGGCTGAGCATTGTGACAATGATCTGAGTCACGACCGCGTACTAGTAGCAGTACAAGAGTATAGTAATACTAGCAGCAGTCACCACTAACTACATGATGAGGCTTGGTCACCGTCACGACAACACCCACCGCCTTCAAAATCACCGTCAAGAAGCCACGGCGGCGTTTCTGCCAGCGCACATATCCCGGGCCGCCTTTCCTGTCTGCAGAGCCTTCCCCTGGACTCCTCGTCCGAGGAGGAGGATCATTTAGTAGTAACACTACTACTACTAGTACTACTAGCGCCATCGCCGCCGAGGTTATCGACGCGGCATTCCAAGCCGGATCGCCACCGATCACAGCCGCGGAACGTCACGTTCAAGTTGAAGCGCCGCCGCGGCCTGCTTGGATTCCCGCTGGTGGCAGTCGCGGCGGCGGCCAGCGGCAAGACGCCGGAGGATCAGTGCTCCTGCCGGGGCGGAACCCTCCAAGGGCCCCCCCAAGCCTGAGCACTAGCTTGAGCACTAGCCTGAGCACTTCAGGCAGCAGCAACTTCCCGAGTAGTGCTAACACTACTGCAATTCATACTAACTATTGTAACACCGGCGGCATCAGCCACACGCCGGCGGCGGCGGCGGCATTTGCGGCGGCAGAAGCGGCGGCGCTGCCACTGGGCGGCGGCGGCGGTAACCTGAAGAGGGAGAGAGAAGCGAGCCCCATAGTTTCCAGGTACCAGTTCTTTACGGAAACAGCGGAGGGCACAGCGCCGCAGCCGGCTGCCAGCAGTGCTGGTGTAGGGTTACTGCCGCCAGAAGCAGTAGAGGGGGCGAGGGAGCGAGGAGAGCGAGGAGAGGGAGGAGAGCGGCACATCAAGACGGACTGGTCCGGACAAGCTGCTGCTGCTGCTGCTGCTGCTGCTGCTGCGCCTGAGGCTCAGTCATTTTTTCAGAGGGGGGAGAGAGAACGAGAGCAGAGAGGGCCGCAGGGAAGAGAGAGCGCCTGTGTGGTGACCTGGGGAAACTCGCACGTTCCAGAGGAAGCAGCACGGTGCAAGACGACTCACATAATCGCTACTACCACTCCTAGCAGCACTGCTACAAGCACGACTACTACGTCTGTTGCTGCGACCGCTCCTGCTACTACTGCTACTGGGACTGCTGCTGACGTGGACTTGACTACCAGAAACACCACGCTGGGTAGGAGTCCCATGGGGGCTTCTTCCTACTCCCCTGTTGAAGGCCACCGGTCGGGACCCACTCGGGGAGCTTTGGAATCACCTGGGCTGCAGGGGGTACGGGTGGGAGGAGGAGGAGGAGGAGGAGGAATTGGGGAGGGCAGCGGCGGCGGAAGTTGGAACCATGCAAGCCACCATCCTGCTGCTGCTCTGTCCTTGTCTCTGCCCGTGACTCAACATGACTCGTCTACTGCTGCTGCTGCTGCTGGTACGACTGCTATCCGTTGTGCTGGACAGGAGGCGATTCACCAGGGCCGTGCGCGGATCCGCGGATGGATTACGCCCATGATCCCTGCCGCTGCTGTTCCTCCTCCTCCTCCCCCTCCCCCTCGTCACCCTGCTGCCGCTGCCGCTGCTGCTGCTGCTGCCGGTGCTGCCTTCTGTAGTAACGGGTCGGGCAGTGAAAGCGGCAGAAGTGGGGATTGGAGGAGTGGGGTGTGTGCAGCGCGTGGGGGGGCAGAGGCGGCGGGTGCGGCGGCGGGGGCGGGGTGTTTTCCAGGCGGTGGGGATGAGGAGGGGCATGGGGGGGGCTTTGGTGGAGGGGGCGCAGGCGCGGGGGCGGGTGCATGTGGAGGGCGGAGAGGCGGAGGGGGAGGAAGAGGAGGACGGGGTGGGGGTGGAGGGAGAGGGAGAGGGTATAAACGGGGGCTGGGGTGCGACTGGACTACTATGGATGAGAGGGAGGAGACTGCTCCTGCTGGTACTGCTGCGTATGCTGCTGTTGCTACTGGTGCGGTGAGAGGGAACGGGGTACCAGCACGGGCGAATGTATCAACTATGAACCAGGTTCAGGCGCCAGGGGGGGCAACATTTCCTGCTGCGTCGGCGATGGAGACAGGGCAGGAGAAAAAAGCCGGGGTGGAAAATCAAGAGGAGCTGGATGTTCAAATCTCCCTGGGATCTCCACCGACCATGTCAAGAGCCCCGTCTCGTTCCTCTCACTCTTCTCACCTGTTTCACCTGCCTCGAACAGGCTCGGAGAACCGCGTGGGATCAGTGCAGCTTCACATCCGCCAGGAGGAACCGCAGCCGCAGCAACAGCAGCAGCAGCAGCAGCAGCAGCAATGGCAGCAGCAGCAGCAGCAGCAGCAGCAATGGCAGCAGCAATGGCAGCAGCAGCACCACCACAACCCGAACGACCAGGAACCTTACCATTATCCCATGACACGAAGCTCTTCACCGCTTGTCCTTCCCTCTCTTCCTGTGCTCCCCTCTGGCCCTATGAGTGCCACTGTAAGTCATGCGAAGCAGTCTGGAGTGAATTCTTTCATCGGTCTGAGATTGGTGTCTGCTGCTCCGGTTGCTGTTATGCCTGGTGCTTGCACCGCCACCACTACCGCCACCACTACTGAAGCGGCAGCATCAGCAATAGCAACGGCACCACCAGCAGCATGGGCTGGTGCTGGATCCAGTCGTCTTCCCTCCCTTGCTCTCCTTGCAAGCAGCAGAAGCAAAGTCACTTCAATCAGACCAGTAGCTCCGTCTGCTGCTAATCACTTCACAACCACTGCGCCTCTAACCAACACATCAGCCACCGCACCTGCCGTGCCTGCTACAGCCGCTACTGCTTCTCCTGCTACAGCTGCCACTCGTGGTGCTGCCTTTGCTGATGCCGCACCTGCTGCACACACGCGCGAGCGCATGATGGAAGGGGAGGGTGCGGCTGTATCGTCTCCTGGTATCCACTCGTATCCTCCGTTCGAGCCCACTGCGGCTGCTGCGGTGCGTACTGGTGTTGGTGTGGCAGGGAACTGTGCAGCACCCGGCTTTTGGACTGAATCTCCTGTGGCAGCTTCTGCTGCTGCTGCTGCTGCTGGTGGTGGGAGTGGTGGCGGCTCTAATGAAAGAAATGGCGCTGGCGCTGGCGGTGATGGTGTTAATGGTGGTGGCAATGGTGGTGGTGGTGTTGGTGGTGGTGGTGGTGGTGTTGGTGGCGGTGGTGTTTCTGCTGCTGCTGGAGGCATGCGATTGTATCAGTACCGTATGCAGCAGCAGCAGCAGCAGCAGCAGGAACAGCAGGAGCGGCAATGGCCAGTGTTGAACCCGCATGCGAGGGAGCGCTTAGCACCACCCCAGCAGCGTGCAGCTGACACCCTCAGCGATCGTCCAGTGACCTCCAACCCTGCCGCTACAGCATCTGCTGCTGTTGTTGCTACCCGTGGTGCTGTTGCCTGTGGTGCTCGTTCAGCTAGCGGTGCTGCCTGTGCTCCTGCTGGTGCTGCTGCTGGTGTTGTGCAAAGGGCACCAGTGGTGCAGGCAGCAGCAGGGGGAGGCGGAGCAGCAGAGGGCAGTCAAGGCACGTCTAGCAGCAGCCCAGGCACGTCACGGTCACTGGTAAGTGAAGGCTGTAAGCCTGTATCCCCTTCTTCTCCCTTCAACCTCCTTCTGAGACGCCTCATGAGTCGTGTAGCAGTAGCAGGAGCCTAGCCCAGCCCAGCCAAGTCACGATAATGTAACTTTTGAGAATTCTCATCAGTATCACGATCACGATCACTGGTAACTGAAGCCTGAATCTCCTTCCTCTTTCCTCACCCTCCGCCACCTCTCCTCGTTCCGTTCCCGCACATCCCTCTGGCCCTTGATTTCCTGCCTGACACTTGGAACGATTCTAGCATGGATGTTGCCCGGCCTATCGTAAGCTCACAAGATCGCTGCACTGCACACAAGCTCACTGAGGTCCATGATGCTGCACTGCAGGGTGTTTTTGAGAATTTCTCAAAAGCACCCTATCGCATGCCCACTGATCTCCCAGTCAGTCGGATGCTAATCTTCTCCCTTGCTCTCAACTCCCTGTGGTGATTCTGACCGCCAGGCACGCAAGGGGAGTGAAGAAGGTGCCTCAAGGGTAGATGCTAGCAGGCAGCAGCAACAGCAACAGCAATTGCAGCAGCGGCAGGGAGAGGAACAGGGCGGTACAGAGCGGAACAGCCACGAGGGGTTTCAGGGGGAGGAGGAGGACGAGGGGAGGCGAATGAGCAAGAGGAGGAGGCGGGTAAGGAGCAGAGGGAGAGGGAGCGTAGGAGAGAGTTGTTGCTGCAGTCGTTGCGGAATGGAACACAGCAGTCCACTCGACCTCGGAGCGTGGCGGAGAGGAAGCGACGCAGCAAGATCAGGTACTGATGGCATGGAGACAGACTGGCACGTGCGCACGCACTCACGCACGTACACACGCACCTGCTCACGCACGCCCACACGCACGCACGCACGCACATGCTCACACGGCGAGTGCACACGCCCCCACATGCGTACACCCTCACACCCTCTCGTTCCACCCCTTCACATGTTCCGTCCCCTTCTCTTTGCTCCCACTTTACCCCAACCAGCGAGCGACTAGACAACCTCAATGGTGGACCCTGCTTTTTTGGATCCCGCGCATGGACACTGCCTAGATGCTGGACGTGGCTGTGACCCACATCTCATCAGCTCTCGTTCCTTGTCCCTCCCTCACACCTCAAAACAGCGAGCGACTAGACAACCTGAAGGAGTCGCTCTCCATTTGAAACCCGCACATGGACACAGCAGCCACTATGCTGTATGCAGCTGTGACCCACATCTCATCATCTCTCATTCCTTGTCGCTCCCACTCCCCTCCCTACAGCGAGCGTTTGGACAATCTGAAGGAGACCCTGCCCATCTGGAACCCGCGCATGGACACGGCGACCATGCTGGACGCGGCGGTGAACTACATCGGGCTGCTCAAGCGCGAGGTGCGGCGCCTGCAGGTGGAGTGCGAGGAGCTGGGCAAGGGGCTGCCCCCGGGGGCCAAACGACCGCGCGTGACGATTGATGACGACATGGAGACCCAGGTGACCTGGGAGGATGGGTAGCGAGACGCTGCTGATGATACTGCTGTGGCTACGACGGCTGTGGCTTCTGCTGCTGCTGAAAAAAGAAGGGGCTGTGTCCGCGGGCGAAGCAACCGCGCATGACGATTGATGACGACATGGAGACCCAGGTGACCTGGGAGGACGGGTAGCGCGATGCTGCGTACTTCTGAGTCGATTAAACAAGCGGCGGCTGCAGGTGGAGTGCGAGGATCTGGGCAAGGGGGTGCCTTCGGGGGCCAAACGACCGCGTGTGACGATTGATGACGACATGGAGGCCCAGGTGACCTGGGAGGATGGGTAGAGCACTGCTGCTGCTGCTGCTACTGCTGCTGCTGCTGCTGCTGCTGCTGCTGCTGCTGCTGCCGCTGCTGCTGCGGCGGCGGCGGCGGCCGCAGCTGTTGCTGAAGCAGGAATGGGCTGCCCCCGGTGGTGATGACGGACGGGGGATTGGGCAGAGAGGATGATGCATGTGTTGTCAGAATATTATGCTCTAGCCTGTAGTGGGGTGCTCTATAGCGAGTACAACCATTCTAGGGTTTGCTATTTGTATCCTCATTCTTGCTAGTGCAACCTCCTCTTTTGCCTAAACTTCTCTTGCCTAGCTAGGACTTACCTAGCTATGGCGCCTTCTTCTACTGCTTATCTTCACATGGTATTAGAGCGATATGCTCCTGGCCTGTGGGCCCCACCTCACTGCTTCCGCTGCTACTGCTACTCCCTGTCCGCCGCGCGCC